CATGAAGAAGTGGCTCATGTTTATGTCCAAGAGATTTTTGCCTATGTTTTTTCCTAAGAGTTTTATGGTTTCATGACTTACATTCAGGTCTTTGATCCACTTCGAATTTACTTTTGTGAATGGGGTTAGACAATGATCCAGTTTCATACTCTTACATGTAACTGTACAGTTTTGCTAACACCAGCTGTTGAAGAGGCTGTCATTTCCCCATTGTATGTCCATGGCTCCTTTATCATATATTAATTGACCATATATGTTTGGGTTGATGTCTGGAGTCTCTATTCTGATCCACTGGTCTGTGGCTCTGTTCTTGTGCCAGTACCAAATTTTCTGACTACTGTGGCTTTGTAATAGAGCTTGAAGTTGGGGAGCGAGATCTCCCCTACTTTATTTTTCCTTCTCAGGATTGCTTTGGCTATTGGGGGTCTTTGGTGGTTCCATATGAATTTTAGAACTATTTGTTCCAGTTCGTTGAAGAATGCTGTTGGTATTTTGATAGGGATTGCATTGAATCTGTAAATTGTTTTAGGCAGGATGGACATTTTGACAATATTACTTCTTCCCAGCCAAGAGCATGGGATGAGTTTCCATTTGTTAGTGTCCTCTTTAATTTCTCTTAAGAGTGTCTTATAGTTTTCAGGGTATATAGGTCTTTCACTTCCTTGGTTAGGTTTATTCCTAGGTATCTTATTCTTTTTGATACAATTATGAATGGAATTGTTTTTCTGATTTCTCTTTCTGCTACTTCATTGTTAGTGTATAGAAAAGCAACCAATTTCTGTGTATTAATTTTGTATCCTGCAACTTTACTGAATTCAAATATTAGTTCTAGAAGTTTTGGAGTGGAGTCTTTAGGGCTTTTTATGTACAGTATCATGTCATCTGCAAATAGTGACAGTTTGACTTCTTCTTTACCAGTCTGGATTCCTTGTATTTCTTTGTTTTGTCTGATTGCCATTTATAGGACCTCCAGTACTATGTTGAATAACAGTGGAGAGAGTGGGCATCCCTGTCTTATTCCTGGTCTTAGAGGAAAAGCTTTAAGCTTCTTGCTGTTAAGTGTGATGTTGGCTGTGGGTTTATCATACATGGCCTTTATTATGTTGAGGTACTTGCCCTCTATACCCATTTTGTTGAGAGTTTTTATCATGAATGCATGTTGAGTTTTGTCGAATGCTTTTTCAGCATCTATGGAGATAATCATGTGGCTTTTGTCCTTCTTTTTGTTGATGTGGTAGATGATGTTGATGAATTTTCAAATGTTGTACCATCCTTGCATCCCTGAGATGAATCCCACTTTATCATGGTGTATGATCCTCTTGATGTATTTTTAAATTTGGTTTGCTAGTATTTTGTTGAGTGTTTTTGCATCTATGTTCAACAGGGATATTGGTCTGTAATTTTCTTTTTTGGTGGGGGTCTTTGCCTGGTTTTGGTATTAAAGTGATGCTGGCTTCATAAAATGAGTTTGAAAGTATTCCCTTCTCTTCTATTTTTTGGGAAACTTTAAGGAGAATGGGTATTATGTCTTCTCTGTATGTCAGATAAAATTCCACGGTAAATCCATCTGGCCCAGGGGTTTTGCTCTTGGGTGGTTTTTTGATTACTGACTCAATTTTGTTGCTGGAAATTGGTCTGTTTAGATTTTCTGTTTCTTCCCCGGTCAGTCTTGGAAGGTTGTATTTTTCTAGGAAGTTGTCCATTTCTTCTAGGTTTTCCAGCTTGGTAGCATATAGATTTTCATAGTATTCTCTAATGATTCTTTGTTATCTCTGTGGGGTCCATCATGATTTTTCCTTTCTTGTTTCTGATTCTGTTGATGTGTGTAGATTCTCTTTTTCTGTTAATAAGTCTGGCTAGGGGCTTATCTGTTTTGTTCATTTTCTCAAAGAACCAGCTCTTGGTTTCATTTATTTTTTTCTATTGTTTTATTCCTCTCAATTTTATTTATTTCTTCTCTGATCTTTATTATGTCACTCCTTATGCTGACTTTGGGCCTCATGTTGTTCTTCTTTTTCCAATTTTATTAATTGTGACTTTAGACTATTCATTTGGGATTGTTCTTCCTTCTTTAAATAGGCCTTGATTACTATATACTTTCCTCTTAGAACTGCCTTCACTGTGTCCCAGAGAAGTTGGGGCTTTGTGCTGTTGTTGTCATTTTTTTCCAAATATTGCTTGATCTCTATTTTAATTTGGTCATTGATCCATTGATTATTTAGGAGCATATTGTTAAGCCTCCATGTGTTTGTGAGCCTTTTTGTTTTCTTTGTACAATTTATTTCTAGTTTTATACCTTTGTGGTCTGAGAAGTTGGTTGGTAGAATTTCAATCTTTTTGAATTTACTGAGGCTCTTTTTGTGGCCTAGTATGTGGTATATTCTGGAAAATGTTCCATGTTCACTTGAGAAGAATGTGTATCCTCCTGCTTTCGGGTGTAGAGTTCTGTAGATGTCTATTAGGTCCATCAGTTCTAGCGTATTATTCAGTGCCTCTGTGTCCTTGCTTATTTTCTGTCTGGTTGAACTGTCCTTCAGAGTGAGTGGTGTGTTGAACTCTCCTAGAATGAATGCATTGCATTCTATTTCCCCTTTAATTCTGTTAGTATTTGTTTCACTTATGTTGGTGCTCCTGTATTAAGTGCATATATATTTATAATGGTTATATCCTCTTGTTGGGCTGACCCCTTTATCACTGTGTAATGTCCTTCTTGATCTCTTGTTACTTTCTTTGTTTTGTAGTCTATTTTGTCTGATACTAGTACTGCAACAGCTGCTTTTTTTCTCCCTATTGTTTGCATGAAATATGTTTTTCCATTCCTTTCTTGACTTTTAGTCTGTGTATGTCTTTGGGTTTGGGGTGAGTCTCTTTTAAGCAGCATATGGATGGGTCTTGCTTTTTTATCCATTCTATTAATCTGTGTCTTTTCATTGGTGCATTTAGTCCATTTACTTTTAGGGTGATTATTGAAAGATATGTACTTATTGCCATCGCAGGCTTCAGATTTGTGGTTACCAAAGGTTCAAGGGTAGCTTGTTTATTATCTAACTGTCTAACTTAATGCACTTATTAAGCTATTATAAACACATTCTGATGATTCTTTATTTCTCTCCCTTCTTATTCCTCCTCCTCCATTCTTTATATGTTAGGTGTTTTATTCTGTACTCTTTTTGTGTTTCCTTTGTCTGCTTTTGTGAGTAGTTAGTTTTATTTTTTGCTTTTAGTTAGTATTTGGTTGGTCTGCTTTCTTTGCTGTGATTTTATTTTCTCTGGTGACATCTATTTAGCCTTAGGAGTGCTTCCTTCTAGAGCAGTCCCTTTAAAATATCCTGTACAGGTGGTTTGTGGGAGGCAAATTCCCTCAACTTTAGCTTATCTGGGAATTGTTTAATCCCTCCTTCATATTTAAAAGATAATCGTGCTGGATACAGTGTTCTTGGTTCTAGGCCCTTCTGTTTCATTGCATTAAATATATCATGCAATTCTCTTCTGGCCTGTAAGGTTTCTGTTGAGAAGTTTGATGAAACCCTGATGGGTTTTCCTTTCTAGATGAACTTTTTCTCTCTCTGGCTGCCTTTGATACTCTGTTCTTGTCCTTGATCTTTGCCATTTTAATTATTATGTGTCTTGGTGTTGCTTCATTGGGTCCCTTGTGTTGGGAGTTCTGTGACCCTCCATGGTCTGAGAGACTATTTCCTCCCCCAGCTTGGGGAAGTTTTCAGCAATTATTTCTTCAAGGACACTTTCTATCCCTTTTTCTCTCTCTTCTTCTTTGGTACGCCTATAATGCAAATATTGTTCCTTTTGGATTGGTCACACAGTTCTCTTAATATTCTTTCATTCCTGGAGATCCTTTTATCTCTCTCTGCCTCAGCTTCTCTGCATTCTTGTTCTCTGATTTCTATTCCATTAATGGCCTCTCGCACCTCATCCAGTCTACTCTTAAGTCCTTCCAGAGATTGTTTTCTTTCTGCATTCTCCCTCCCAACTTGATCCTGTAGCTCTTGCATATTTCTCTGCAGTTCCATCAGCATGGTTATGACTTTTATTTTGAATTCTTTTTCAGGAAGATTGGTTAAATCTATCTCCCCAGGCTCTCTCTCAGGTGTTGTCTGGGTAATTCTGGACTGGATCAAATTTTTCTGCCTTTTCATGGTGATAGAGGTAGTCGTAGTTCGTGCTGGGAGAACAACGTCCCCTCCTGCACCTTGCCCTCCTCTGCTGCCTGTCCTGGTTACCTGCACACGGGGAGCAGCTTCCAGTTTTATTTCCCGAGCCGCTGCAAGTGGGGCAGCTGTCGGGGCAGCCCAGAGTCCAGCGGGGAGAGGCAGGCGTGCCAGGTGTGCTCTCCCATGAGAACGGTGACCTTTTGTGCCCTGTCCCAGTTTCCTCTGTCTGTGCTGTGCTGCCGCGTGCCAGTAGCACCTCTGAGTCTGGCCTGGGTGACTGTGGTGGAGGCTCTGGGCAGCTGCTGTGGGCGTGGCCACTCCCAGGCTGCTCCCCTGCTATGGTGGGGCTGCACCAGAGGGGGTATGAATGCCATGCTGTTTATCACCGTGAGGGGCTTCAGAGCTGCGCTGTCACCCAGGAGGTTAGGGCACCTGGAGTTCCCCAGAATTCCCAGCTGCTGGGCTGAGTGTGCCAGGATGCTTCCATCCAGCTGTGAGGCTCCTGTCCCTGTAAGACTTTCAAAAATTACTCGCTTTTCTTTTGTTCCAAGGGCGCTGGCTGTGGGAACCTGCTTGCAGGTTTTACTGTTCTGTTTCCCTAGTATCCAGCACACCATGCACTGTGTGTCTGTGCTCGGGTGCAGATGACTACATTTGAGTATTTAGCAGTCCTGGGATCCCTCTCCTCTCCACTCTGACTCCTCTCCTCCAGCTAGGGAGCTGGGGTGAGGGGCGCTCAGGTCCCGCCAGGCTGTGGCTTGTATCTTACCACCTTCGTGAGGCACTGGGTTCTCACAGGTGTAGATGTAGTCTGGCTCTTGTACTGTATCTTCTGGTCTCTCTTTTAGGATTAGTTATATTTGGTTTATTTTCAAAAATACGTATGGTTGTGGGAGGAGATTTCTGCTGCCCTACTCATTCTGCCATCTTGGGTTCTCTCTCTCTATGGTTTTTTTGAAGGCTGGGTTTATTCTCAGGGTCTTAAATGGATGGATATTGAAGAGCCCCTATATTTGACCTGTTGAATTACAACTGTGATCTACAGCACTCTGCCCCACAGTCTTCGTGTGTTTTGCTTTTTGCTTTCCTCTTTTTTTTGTCTCTTTACATCTTCTCTCTGTGTTTCTGATGTAGAATTGAGTTCATTGTTATTCAGTGGTTGCCTGAATAGGAGCAGAGAAAAGGGGGTAAAGAAATAGCATAAGAGAGTTAAGACCAAGGTGTTGATTTGAAAATTCCCTGTTACAGGTACACACAAAACCATGCACATAATCCTGCTCAAATGCATTTGCGTCTCCTCAAAAGATTCCATACAGCTCGATGCTGTCCTCAGAGGTGGTCCTCATGGGGATCCACACCAGGATAACCAGTAGATTTTCAAAGACCTTGAGATGTATGTTAACTTAGTTGATATCAGGTTTCCTGGAGGAAAATGAGACCTTGTCTTCCATAACTTAATTCAGGACCATCAGTGTGGCACAGCTGACAAACAGCCTGCCCAAGAAGCCAAGCAGATGTGTTAACATGGTGCTGAGGGGGTTAGCATGGGCAGGGCCCTCCACGTTCTGGCTCTGCAGACACAGCTGCAGAGCCACACGCCAGGCAACTGTGGGTGAGAGGTGAGCTAATCACTTTGGAAACACCACACTTGGCAGAGCGGGCCTTTGTTTGAGATGACTCTGAAAGCAAAAGCAGGTTATCATCTCTGTGCCCAGTGGTCTGACAGAGTGAACGGAAGAGCTCCGTGAGGTGAGCAGAGGTGAAAAGAAAATTAGCCAGACTCAAATGGGGTATTGGAAAAGTTGAGGGAAGGCAGTAAATTATGCCTCTTTTACGTGGTTTAGTTATTGTATCGCAAAGATGGATGGACTAGGTCAGAGAGCTGTGGATGAAAAGCAAGATCAGGATGGTCAAGGGGATGAGCTAAGAGCTGAGCTCTCGTGGGCCCAGCTGAACCGATGCTGCTAGAGCTTCCCGCTGAGCAGGAGGAAAAGGACAGAGTAAATAAAGAGTTGTCTGGGATTATCTGGAGGCCTTTTACATGGCATTGGAGCCTAGACCTGTCAGTAGAGTACAGGTTGGAAAAGACAAGTCTCATACATAGAGAAGCAAATCGAGAAAGGCCATGGAAACGGTGAAGGTGTGTTCCGGACTGCTTACTTCTGACCCCACCCAGGCCTGGCGCTCTTGCTCTGTGCCCTTGGGAAGTCATTCAGCCTTTTTGTGCCTCAGTTTCCTCATGTGCAACAAGGCAATAATTGTGCCACTACCATCATATGTATCAGGCTTTTAGGGCTGTCCCTGGTGCCTAGGAGACACTCAGAAAGGCTAGCTGATGGACACTTCACAGCACAGTTTTCAGAGCCATCAACAGCATGTTGGGAATTGGGGGGTGCATGCATTTCTGGCTGTTATGACATAGGGGGTGCTACCACCATTTAGTGGGTGGAGGCCAATAACAGAAGTATTATCTTGTAGCCCACATGAATTTTAAGTGTGTACAGGATCCCTGTAAGTGAAAGACCTGCCTAATATTGTCAGAACTTAGAACCCAACTCAATTTTTAAAATTTACATGAAGTCTTTTGTATTGTTTTAATATACATTGAATTTTACACCACCACATAAATCATGAAGATGGTTATACTCTGCTTTGTTCAATGTGGTCAAGAGTTGTTTACCTTTTCAAAGGATCACATCATGGATGGTAAAACAACCATGTGTATGGGCTGCATTTGTAATTATTATATTCCTGGGGCCCCTTTACATGGCCTTATGACTTGATTGTGACTTCTAGTGTCACAGTGTACAGTGTCTGAGCATTTACACATGGAAATAGCCATTATTTTATTATAATAATGGTGTATCTTTCCTTTATATTAAGGAATTGCATTGATATCTTTTGAAATGAGGGTAGGTTATGTTTATTAATTTCATGCAGGATATTAAAGGGGCATTACAAAACATTTTTTATAATGAAGAGGTGTTAGCACTACAGGTTTGAAAAACACAGGTTTTCAGAGCCAAGCTCAGCACAATTGTAAGAGCTGTGCTTCCCAGAAATTGGTCCTGAGACAAAGAAGTCACAACCCAAAGAGAGGGTGTTTCCCTTGGTCTAAATTAGCCTCTCTCCTCCCTTAGTTTTTAAATACTTACCTGGCAGTCAGGGTATTTTGGTATATTGCCTGTACCTGCCCTCAAGAATCTTGTCCTCTAGTTCATGATTAAGATGGGGTGAATGTCAAGTTTCTGTAAAATACTTAACCTTAAAGAGGAAATACCACCTTTTCTTTTCTGTAGATCACTCTAGAAAAACCTCTTCTTGGGCCTCTGTCTTTCTTCTTTGTGGAAAGACCAAGATAGGCAGGCTCTTCCTTTGTCAAGAGATGTCTCTCTGCCTGAACCACAGTACCAGGGCTCCACACCTGGCTGGGTAGGCCTAGTAGGATTAATCCTCAGGCACCACTTCTGACTTGATGGCCATAAGTCCTGTTGTAAGGGTAGTCCTGTATGTTTACTCCCTGACATGGACAAAGAGAAAAAAGGAGCAAGCATAGATAAACTGGGGGTCAGAATGCATTATGCATACCTAGAAGTTGGTTGTGTTGCTGCACAGTCATGCGGAAGATGGCAAGTGGAGTCAGTTTTCTAGGGGTAGGTCCTGGTTTCAGTTTCTTTCCACTAATATACTAGAATGTGAATGGTAAAAAGGTTCGAGTCTAGTCTGGCAAAAGTCAAGGAAAAAAATAGCCATTAAATCTTTCAAGGTTTAATCTGTGATTAAACTGTATGCAGAGATGGATTGTTGTCCCAAGATTGCTTTCCTGTCTCTGAGGTATTATAAGAGAATAAAAAGGAAGGGAAGGACAGAGAGAGAGATGGAGGGAGAAAATTATTGAGAAAAGCTATTAATTCAGATTGAGGGGAATCTATAGAGTATCTGCCTAAGGCTGGCTGTGTTTTCAAAATTGGTCACAATAATACCTCCCATCCCACAATCTCGGCTACCAAGTAGAGCCTAACTCCCTTCACCCTTGACTTGGGCCCATCATGAAACTAAACCACCACCTTCTGCTGGAGAAGGGAAAAAGCGAGAATATTTGTATGGTGAGAAAGATTATTTGATACTAAACTCAGACCATATCCACTGGAGTGGGATTAGCCTACAGAAATGGATCTTTGATAAAGTCAAACTGGCAAAGATACCAGAGCATCTCTGGGAACAATGGTGAGCTAGAAGGCCACACAGATTAAGCAAGGAGAAGCAGCACTGGGTGGGAGGCTGAAGGAGCAGGTTGACAGAAGCTGGAGATATGACCAGGGTGGGGCCTACTGAGAGAGGTTGTTACTGGACAAGGTTACATCACTGTAGTTAGAATTCTGAGATGTCAGCTGCTGAGACCTTGCAGCCCCTGACAATGGCCTGGGGCTGGAGGATGGATGTGTGCAGGATCCTGGAGTGACCACATGAGCTGAGTGGGTACCTTTGTGGAGTGATTACAGTGTAAATTCTGACTATTTTCCTCAGGTGTGTTTCTTGCCCTTTCCCTACCCTGCTCTGAATCAAAGGGTCTTATCCCTGTGGTTGCTTTTCCAAGACTGGAGAATGGAGGCACTGCCAGGTGAGTGGAGGGTAGGGGTTGGAAGGGAGACACAAATACTTCTTCCCCTTTTCTCTGCAGCTGCGTGAGCTCTCTGGCTCCAGGTGTTGCCAGGCAGGTCCACTGTGGTTCCAGCCTCCACCTGTGACAACACCCCTGAACTCGGGAAGCCATCCTCCTCCTGCGGCCCTGCAGCCCTGCCGGCTTCCTGTTTCTGCAGTCTCCGGATTCCTCCCTGCCCCTGGCTGGCCTCTTGGTTCTTCCATCCCTTGTGTAATCAATCCCTGCATTCAAGTCTTTCTGTTTGAAATCCTCTGATGGTTTCTGTTTCCTGCTTAGATCCTGACTGATACACCGGACTCAGAAGTTGACCAGCTCTGATTCAGGGGGAGAACTGATGAGGATCAGTGCGGGAACACCCTGTGGGTGAGGTTTGTTGGAAAGCAAGGAGTCTTCACGACAGCAGGGTCTGTGCTTGCCTGGTCCCATTCTCTCCAAAACCACATCACCTGTTGTCCTAAGGGAGGGACTTTAATAGAGGAATTGAGTGGGAGAGGAGGGGTTAGCTAATGAACTCATTAAAATAGGAGCACCAAGGATACCACCAACAGCAGAAAGCTTGTGTCAACTCAGTTTAGAAATGACCGACGTGCACTGGTGGGAGCTCATGAACCAGTAGGTCACTGTGACATCCTTGGGCCCATATAATGTCTGTACCTGTGTCTGGTTTCAGATAGAACAGGGAATGATGTTGAGTGCCTCTAATTAAATAGTCTGATAATATTTCTACCACATCAAATTCCCACCAGGACAAATGCATACAAATGAATCATAATTTTTCACCTTTACTCCAGCCAAGCCACTTGGGCCTCTGCTAAGAAATGATGATAAAAGTGAAGAAAACAAAACAAAGCGTATACTATAATGTCATTTTAAAAATTAAAGATTTCCAGGAGATTCTTTGTTATACTGCAAGAGCACAGGCTGCATTTTTAAATGACTTTGTTTTCCCTTTTTGATAATCATGGGGAGTAATACAGCCAAACTAATCCTTAGCTGAGGCTAAGGTCATCTGTTAGCTCCTGCTGACATGTTGAGCCAGTCGGCAGACCCAGGATCTCAGAGGGAGCACAGCCCTGGACGCATGAGAGAAGAGAGGAGGTATCATTCAGACGACAGGAGCACCACATTTGGGTCCAGTTGTACAGCAGCCTATCGCCACACTGGGGCTGGGGGCACACCTGTATCATAGCCACTACAGGCTACAACAGGAGAGAGAAATGCCATCTGGGATTGTGTCCTTGGGGTTGGGGGATGTGATTTTTCATGCTGTGTAATGAACCTACAACAGGGAAGGACATTTCATTGTGGGATTTACAGCACGAGGCAATTCTGACAGGAACAGAGATACTCGTTTCAACTCACAGTCATAAGATGAGGACAGTAGTGGAGAAGCTGCCTGGCTTGCAGTGATATATTTAGGGAGAGGATTTAACATCAGAGTTCAGAACAAAGAATAACAGTAAAATTATAAAGTTCTAGGGTCATTTGCTTGTTTGTGCT